AGGAAGCAATTCATAAATGGATTGAGCTAAATAATAATAATAATAAAAGACTACTATGTAAGCGACCCAAAGACAGCCCAAGAAAGAAGGCTTTTTGCTGCCAGACGCAGAATATCAAATACCCCCTTGGACATCAAATACCCTCAAGCAAGCCAAATTATTTTGGCATCTAAGGCAGAAAAATCCCACAAGCACCTCTCCCCATTCCGGGAAGTAAAAATGCAGTAATAGTACTTTACTACCTTTCCATGACACCTCAAACTAAGCGCCTGTCATTCCACTTAACAACAGCGCTGGTCATGGCACAGTTAATACCCTGCATTGATAGACTATGGCAGAAGCAAATACTTGCAAAACAATCTGGAATGTTGCATTCTGGGATCTGCGAAAGGCCTAGACACTTTTCTGTTGGCAAGTGGTCTCAGAATCAATGAGCACAAGGTTGCTGTCCCTCACATCTCCACAAAGGTAAGGGACAGCAGTGACAGACAGCATACCCTTTGGAATATGTTGTTGCTAAAAATATTTGAACAGCTGTAACTCCCAACTGGGTTTTCCGTTTCAAAAGCTGCAGCACTCAGAGTAGCTAGATGTCTGCTCCAGCCCTTCATGGCCCCATCAAACCTTGTGAAGTGTTCCCTTAGGCAACAGCAGTTGAAATTTTCTGCACATCAGTGCATCTACTCACAGCAGCAACCATAGAGATGAGCACACAAAACCAGAAAGAACGAGCCATCTCTTTTTGCTTCTGAAAGCATGGGTGCCTGGGGGAACTGAATGATTAGCATGTTTTCGTGGACAGTCTTGTCTACCCGGGCATCAACAGTAATGGTGGCACCTATGACCTTAATTAGTATACTTTTGACTCGCCTTAACATGATTCCTGAAAAGGAGCACAGTTCAGAACACTGTTCTGAACTAAAGTCTTTGCTCTCTGCAAAAGAGGTACTGTTTGTTCTGCCAAGTTCACAAACAACAGAAGACCTCTGAACCTTCACAGGGCAGATGGGGTGTCCATTTACTGTGCTGGAAGTACAAGAGCTGAGTGGTCCATCTCACTTTTGCAAAACTAAACATCCTCCTGGTCTCACACACTAAAGCATCAGAGTTATTCTTCCAAAAGCTAGACAGGAGCATTTCCTACTTTAAGAAGGTAAGCAACACCAGTCCTTAATAAATGAGAACCTTTCACAATAAAAGCTTTCTTTAGCGTCTCAAAGATGCAGAAACAGCAGGAGGTAAAAAGCATTTCAGAGTTGTTCACGGGTTACACAAAACACAGGCACACGCTGTCTCTACAAGTGTACATATGGACTTGCTGATTTGTACCTCTCAACAAATTTGTATACACATGTATACAAACTGTACACTCATTTAAAGTAATGTAGAAGAAGAAGAAGAAGAGTTTGGATTTGATATCCCACCTTTCACTCCCTTTAAGGAGTCTCAAAGCGGCTAACATTCTCCTTTCCCTTCCTCCCCCACAACAAACACTCTGTGAGGTGAGTGGGGCTGAGAGACTTCAAGGAAGTGTGACTGGCCCAAGGTCACCCAGCAGCTGCATGTGGAGGAGCGGAGACGTGAACCCGGTTCCCCAGATTACAAGACTACCGCTCTCAACCACTACACCACACTGGCTCTCAGATTAAACCTATCAGGGCAACCTCAAAACTAATCTCTTCAGTTATTTTTGGAGCTCCATTTGCTCTAAAAAGTAGAATCAGAGGAGTGTCAGATGGTGCAAAGTTTAGAAAAGTAGAAATTTACAGCCAGTTGTTCATATGTGTTATATTATGCACTTTCTGCGAAGGCCTCCTGACTCATAAATACTATATAATAAAAGTGGGTGATATTTGCATTCAAGATGCTATTCAACCACGATTTTCAGGCAAGCATCACCATTTTGTTCCATGTTATTTTATGTAAATAAATTCAGCATAAGAGAACAGTGGGAAACTGAGAAATGACAGTCAAGCTTTTCTTTAGAGAATTCAGTAGAGGGGTGGGTGAGAGGGAGGGAACTTCCAATGTGATCTCATCTCTGATAACTTTCCACAAATGGTCTGCATTTATACTGAGAGACTGACAGAAATAAAATGCCTACCCACAAGGGAAATGATACTGTTTCTAACCATCGAAGTTAAAAGGGAAAATGGGAAGCTGAAACATACGTAGTACAAGTTCTAAATAAAATCTTTATTTAGGCCTCAGAATGGGAGCTGAAAAGTACATTGCTGAAAACCACAGAAAAATGATACGCAATCTGCAACAAGTTATTTTGCAAATGGCAGAATGATTGATTATATATGTAATTAAATAAGATGGTCTTTCAGTGCTACCCCCCTCCCCTCAAATGTGAAATGGCAGCGTACTTGCTATGTTCTTAACTGCACTTCTTAGGTCGGTGGTGGCTTTAATTATTTTAAACAGCAGAGCTACAAATGTCTGAAAGAGTGCTGCCATAAACTGGGATGGGCGGGGGGCAGGCAGGGGGCAAATATTCAAAATATGAAAAGAGGGCAATGATTACTAGAGGAAGAGTGGTTTACATTGGAACAAAACTGATATTTTATACTACGTTACTTTGAGTTATTATCAATTTAAAAACCAAACTAGGTACAAATATCACAATCTGGTTGAATTTATAGAGTTGCCATTTTCAAAAAGCAGGCTCACAGGAGGAGGGGTTGAGTTGTGTTTTGCAGACTCCATTGGCATGTGTGCAGTCCCTTAGACCAGAAATTTCAGTGGGTTGTATTGCACTTGATGCAGCTCATGAAAAAAATTCATGGGGAGAATCTTTCATTGAGGATCAGTTTGGCTACAGTGGCCCACAATGAAACAAAACATTGGAGCACTTCCTTGGAATGGTCGCACAGCAATATCAGTAGCGGCTGAATAACTGTTTCGTTCATCCTTGCAGTGTTTTATGTTTGGGGTGAGAGAGAATTACTGTTGCCATTGCCAAACCTTTACGTATTCCAATTTATGGTCTCATAGTACTGCCTCCTATGCACAAGTTCTTCTCATCTGGAAATCTGTTGTCCTTTCCTGATTGCTTGCCATTTTATTTTTTTAAATAAAATAATAATAATTAAAAAAATAATAATTGGGGAAGGGCCTTGCTTTAAGAGCATGCCTAATCCTTAAGGGATTTTTCATGGATGCCCATTTACATATTCATCCAAGGAAGGATAATATCTCACGACCAGGAGAGCTTACATACTTCACTGCTGAAATAACGTCCCATACGGATGACATCTATTTACCACCTACCAGCAATTTAAATTCTTTGCTTCTTGCACTATTCTGAAGTGCTCAGAGATGTGACCACATCCTGTGGTTTCATAATGGCTAACAAAATATATTAAAACTATGCTAAAATAAACTGAAAGTGTAAGCACTGCAAAACACCAACATGTATTCTTTTTAAAAAAAATATCCACAAAATGGCAATCCTGTCTAACCTACAAACCATATCCACTCTTGCCACCTTCACTCAAAGCACAAAGGCCTTGTCATGTGAGCTTAGATGCCTTTTTCAAAAGAAGGAACGACCACCACTGTGATCATTAAATAGCACTTAGCCGTGTTCCAAGAATATAGGTTTCTGCCCAGAGGGGCATACAATATAATTACTCAACATAGAGGAGAAAACAGAAGACTAGGCATGAAAGAAGCAGTGAACAGGGTAGAAACATGCTACTGTTTCTGCTGCACTAACATAAGCCCAAGACCCTCCTTCTGAGTTTTCCAGAAACCCATGTGTCTGCTGTCAGAAATTAAATACTGGACTGAATTTATCTTGGTCCTGATCCAGCAAGGGAATTATTATGTTCTTAGTGGTTCCAGAAATACAAACGTCACCACATGCATAAAGGGTGGTGTTTGGGTGGCTGTGGGTGTGAGAAAGAGAGAGAGAGGGAGGGATGTTTCCTCATTTGGATACCATCATTAAAAAAGGGGGAGCTGTGGAAATGCTTTCAGTCTGTAGCCTAAACACGACCACATCCTTCAGCTTCCCCTCCAATGCTCTTGCCTTCTCATCCTCTTCTCATCCTCAGTCCTCTTGAAAGCTTTTACCATTTATGAAACGGTTCCTTACATGTGGCCTTCAGCCTGGAGCACAGAACTCAAAATGAGATCGTATCAATGCTTGGGTTATGTCATTTTGGTTAGCACAACATGTTACTGCCTCATATGCGTGTTTGTTTTCCAAAACTGCAGCCCTCCCCATCCTCTTTAGCCAGCCAGCTATTCCCCATTTTATACTTGCGGGATTGGTACTTCTTTCTTATGTGTAACACTTCACTTTTATATAAACATGTTCCCCCATTTTTACTCCATACAAGCTCTTGGCAAGAAAAGGAAATATGATTGCCAAGCGGGATCAAAGAGATTTTAGATACTGTAATTCGTTTCAGCCACAACTTGGTTAAGCTCAAGTGCTTGGATTTAAGACAATTTAATAGGAAAGCAGATAGACACATCTATTCACTCCAATTATTTATTTATTTTAATGCTAAAAAAACAAAACCCACCCCAAAGACATCTCAATATTTAGTATGCATTAGGAATATTCTGGCTACATATCTCAGGGTCTATTAGTGGTACACAGAGTGCGAAATAACACAACTAGGTGCAAGAAAAGATGAAAATAGAGGGGAAACCTTCTTAACATTTAAAGACTAAGGCAATGATCCTTACCCAACTTACCTGAGAGTAAAGGATCACACTCTTAAGGACAGATATGTGGCATATTGCATTTCATTTTCGCTATACTTGACTACAATACATTAGTTAGTTTGTGCTTGTGTGCAGCTGTGTAGACACACTAGGGGTGTGGAACAGCTTCAGACAAATCAGAAGCCAAAGGATGGTGTTTCAGAGGGATACTGGGCTTCTCATAATGAGATATACATCACATTATTTTTACAAAAGCATCTCAAAAGATGTATAAACTGTTTTCTTTTCAGATCGTATAAATCTTTTGCAGGAATCTTTCGATCAATGTGGAGCTCAAACCCACAGCCCTGAGATTAAGAGTCTCATGCTCTACCAACTGAGCTATCACAAAATACAAGACAGGCCATGCAACTACAAGAATAGATACATTCCCACTTATACTGAGAGATGGCGGGGGGGAGTTTGTGTTGTGTGGGACCAATGGCATTGTTACGACCCTGGAGTCAAGCAGTAAATGGGACATCATCAGAGGATATCAGCTGAGGAGGTGGACTGAGTTTCTAGCTCTGAACATGATACTAGCCATCATGGGACCCTTGACCTGAACCTGGCAGGGAGGACCATCACAGATGCCTTTCCTCTGCACCCAAGGAGCTGAATGTCCTCCCATACTACCTTGCCAGTTCAAAAGCACAGGTAGTGTACCAGGTTAGAGACAGTGAAGCACAAGAGAAGCACCTGTTCTCAAGCCAAAAATATGGCCTTCAAGAGACTCCAGATCTCCAAAAGGGGATGTGTCATATGGAAGATGGACTGGAGGCAGAAGTTCAAAAGGCTCATTTGGTGCTTTCTTTGGTGCAGTGATGATTGACTTGGCTTGTCTGCTCATCCGCAGGATCAGAGCAAAACTCAGAATCCCACTAGACAGTTCATATGCACATGGATATACAGTCTTGCAGAACCGCACTCACATCTGTGTTTCAGTTGGCATACTCACAGTATCTAGTGCCGGCAATTCAAAGCTAGCCTAATCAATTACTGGCCTCATTTTGTAAAGCATCCTCAGGGTTAAAGCCACCAGTCATTTGTACATATTATTCAGATGCATCATTAAAAAGGGTCTTATGGTCCCTTTCCCAACCTGCTTCTGTTATTCAATGGAAGCTATGGGAAGTTCAGGCCTGGCCTAAGGGTGATGATCTTTGCAAAAACAAAATTAAAATACCATGTACCTGTTATGTACTGAGTATATTTCAGTACCCAAACTAAAACTCTATATTCTCTACTATAGACACAGAGCTCTTATGGAACTGATGTGCCTCTGGCTTCCCCATTCACTTCAATAGAGGTGGTTAGCTGGTCTCCCTTAAAATGCATATGGAGCCCTGGTGCATCCTGGAAACAAGGCAACTTTTCACATAGGTTAAGAGTAGTTTCCACTCTAGTTTTTTTCCTATCCTGTATGGGTGTGCTCAGATCTGTATTATTGATTGAAGAGACTTGATTCCCCCACCATTCCACATCTGTACTGCTGCAATTTATGTGAATTGCGGTTAATAATCAGTTGCGTTATGCTTAATCAGCATATCAATAATATGCTCAGCAAAGACTAAGTGGCTCTCATTTCCCAGACCCTTTCACAAATTTTGATTGATTGACAGCATGAAAATTGCACAAATGCAGGTGTTGGTGCAGAATATTATCTCTGTGGACTTTGCAATCAAGTACAAGTAAATGTAGCTATTGCACTCTTTAATAGTTCTGTTGCTCTGCTTTCTGGAGGAGCCTGAACTCCCAGCAGACTTGAATGAGCTTGACCAGATGATCATTGTATTACAAACGCTAATGTTATGAATGTGTGGGATGGTTGGGGGGGGGGAGAGAATGAGACTATGGCATTCTCTGAAGGTGATGATAAATCCAGGGTTAAAAAACGCTGACATGAGACAGCTATCAAGTAGAGCACAAATGAAGGTAAATCACAAAATGAATATTCAGGATTTCTGTATAGCTGCAAATCAGATCAGATAATCATAAGGAAAATATCGAAAGAACACTGCTGAAGCCAAACAAAACCTGTCTCCTCCACTCTAGAATTAATCCCTTGTATACACCTAAAATAAAATCAACACATCAAATTTTCATGGGGTGCCTACTAAGGGGGAGGAGAAAAAGCAGCCCTTTTATATTTACTAAAGTAACCAACCTCAGCAATATTGGCACTTATGGGTTGTGATGGGAATATATTGCTGTGTCTTGGAAGTTGGCTGGCTTCATACCAACACCCTCATTTGCGAGATGCAGCTTTGAGTGTAGCTCTATTAACTTTAGCTTGTAAATCACCTTAGCACCATTAGCAATGTTTCAATATGATGTGACATCTTTATTATAATGCTTTCCCTCTGAAGTTTAAGTTCATATTTTAAGCTGGGTTTCAGACAGATGTAGATCCCCTCAGAGTTTTAATTAATATAGTAGATGTAAAGCCACTGTGAAAATATTGCCTTTTCCGCCTCCCTCTTTTTTGGTTCTCTGCTCTGCTGAATAATTATTTAAGAATGCAAGTGTGGAAGAACAAGCACTAGTCTATGATTGTGCCTGAAAATGTCAGATTGCTCACTCAGACCCAGACTACACCCCCTCAGATCAGCTTTGCTTCATGAAAACATGGGTGTTTTGCTATTAAATTCAATAAGAGCAGACTATTTGTTCCCTCTTTCCCTCCCTCGATGCAACAAACTCAGTATAAACACACAGTTCATTATCCCATAACAGAATCAGTATGGTCCAGACATTTATTCTTAGCTCCATTCCCCAAAGAAATTAGAATCTGTCGATAGGAACAGCATGCACAGATCAAACTTACCCAAACCATCCCAGGCTTCCAGAGTCTAACCAAACTGCTGCGTGAGACAACAGGAGTCTTTTTAATGGGTTAATGTGACACGTCTGTTTCTTACAACACTCACGATACTCTACTTCGAGCTTGTGCCAGCTGCTTTGCCTCTTGCCGCTTTAGGCGTTTTGAGGCAAGAGAAGCTCAACAAGGGAGTCCAGCAGAGCAGGAGAGTGGAACAAGAGAGGAGTCAAAACAGCAAAGCTTAGACTCCTGCAAAATAACACCAATACTCAGTCGGAGGCTACCCAAGAAAAGAGATGAGCTGGGAAAATGTAGGAGGTGAGTTTCATGAGACAATTCTGACAAGGACCATAAACTGATCTCTTGCCCGTTCACTTTTGAAATTAATAAAGAATAGGGGTAGGGGATGACAGTTGTGGCCTCTGTCTCACAGGCACCTGTCCCCTATTCAAACTGACCCTTCCTCTCATATCACATCTCTACACTCAAACATGTAACCATTCTGTACTGTCATGGCTTCCCCCCAAAAAACTTGTACCGGGTACCCTGTATTCTCCTTTCCCCATATAGAACAAGTGTTCTTTGGGAAGAATAAGTGACTGCTGAATCCAACCTGTAATGCAGATATGCCAGCTGACCGCCACTTTTAACTCTTGCCATAGCCTCTAGTGCTATGCGAGGTGGAATTGTTTTGTAGGGAAACTGGACACCAGGAGATGTAGGTCACTGGTTGGGGATGCTCCTATAACTACTAGCCCTCACTGCAATTGGCTGCATGATTGGCAAGGCACATAGTGGGCATGTGCTTTGCTCGGCATCCTGATTGGCTGCCATGGCGAGCATTACTGTGGGCACCATACACACTCCATCCCATTGCTTTGCATTCCCGTGCTGTAAATTGCGTGCCACATGACATGCGTTTGTACACACCTGATAAAGGCACCTAGGATCTTTCCCATGCATGTCAACAGGTGGCCACCATTCCTAGGGAGTTGCCAGCTGAGCTGGCTCTCTGAGTTTCAGTGGCTTCTTTCCACTCCGAACCAATGTTGACTCAGGTGGCCTTTCCCCTTCCCAGAGCCTAACGACTAAGCTCTAGAACTGGCATGCTTTATGCAGGCTTCATTTAAACTAGCATAATTTATGCCAGCTTCCAGTGTTTAAGTTTGCTCCCTAAATTACAATGATCAGGGGTGAAAAGTGTTATCGGACTATTGTTGCGCCTCAGAAAACCTGCACAGGATCACTTGCTTGAATGGATCCTCATACCAAGGAACACCTAGATAATTTACGTGACATACTAGGAAAGCACATGCAGGGAAATTTTGCTCTGTGGTACTTTAAAAGAAGTGATCTCCCCCAAGTGCACTCTGAAGTGGCACAGTCTTGTGGGGAATTGCATTACAAACCCTGCTGAATGTTTCAATCAGCTTTCAGTTCCCCGAAGAGAGATGCTTGCTGCCAATTACCACATAGGAACACTGTAAAGCTTAATCACACCAGAGACAACTAACCTTCTGGAAATAGCATGTTCTACAATCTAGTTAGCGTTAAGAACTTCCCTCTTTGCAGCAGACCATCAAGCGGCCAGACAAATGTCTCTAGGATGCTTATAAACAACTGCCCGTCCCCACATCATCTGTCCCCGACATCGGATACGCTACTTTTCAACAGGGACGTTCCACTGACAGATGCCTTGTCCCTGAATCTGTATATCCTCTTCTAAGCTCATCTCTAAGCCCGTGGCCTTCACCATAACTTGTGGTCACAAGCTCATTCCTCACATTCATTGTGAGTTGCAAAGAGGGGAACTGACTTTGGTATGTTCCGAATCTATTACCTATTAATTTTCACTGGAGCTGAACTGCTGCGTTTGTGCAGCTATTGCACAAAGTTAAAAAGCAGCAGCAGCAAAAATAGACAAACATCATGTGCAGCCTGTGCTATGATTCGAATTGGTACCGGATGGCCCACCTAGAAATGGGGGGGACATAATAAAAGTCCTGCTAAATCAGAATATGAAGTCAGCATCCTGTTTCATGGGGTGCCACCCAGATCGCTTTGAGAAGCCCATAAGCAGGATACCCCTGTGCTCCACAGCAACTGGTTTTCAGACCATGTCATCTCTGAACACGGAGGCAATATATAGCCATCATGGGTAGCACTCATTGACTGGCTTATCCTCCACAAAGGGCTTTCCAGTGCCTCAAGCAAAGGTCTGTCTAGTCACTTGCTCCCTGGTCCTTTTAACTGGAGATACCAGAAATTGAACCAGGAACCTTTGGTGGTCAAGTTGATTTCCCGTCTCTCCCACCTTCTTCTCAGTTTTTTGGCTGTTGCCCCCTGCAACACAACTGACAGACCATTAGTGGGGTATGAGAGCTGAAAATAATGCCAATATATTTCACCGTTGCAAACAAATGTGCCCCTTTTGTTTCAGATAGTACATGGGTAGAGGAGTCTAAAACATGGGTAGGCAAAGTAAGGCCCGGGGGCCAGATCTGGCCCAATCACCTTCTAAATCCGGCCCAC